TCAAATAACGTCAAGAAAAGGCAGGCGCACTTTCAAAACAATAGTCACCCTTTCTTTGTCTCACTCACTCACTCACTCACTCACTCACTCACTCAATGATGCTTTGTTATTTTCATTGACTCACGTTTACTTTGAATGACTTTTCAAATAATGAGAGCAGAGACATCCAGAACTAATGTCTTTATTTTGTGAGTGAACGTTGTATTAATATGCATTTGAGAATAAGAATTATTCTTCAAAGTAAAAGACTTACCATTTAACACAACACTGCAGTATATGTGCGCCTATTTCGAATGTAACGAACTGAACTAGAATTAGATCTCGGTTCTCCGATTACTCATTTTGAAGTGTTATCCCTTAAACCACCCGCACATCCAAGAAGACGCAGAAACAGTACAACATCATCTACACTTTACAGTTATTTATCTATGATTGGAGTTCTGGTTTAAGGTCAGAATATAAAGTAAGTATTTTCTAGGCGTGCGGTAAATAAGTCAATCCTTGTAACTTGCATTAATTTGACTCTCATATATCTATCTATCTATCTATCTATCTATATATATATATATATATATATATATATATATATATATATATATATATATATATATATAGTGGGTCCGCGATTACGTCGTAACCTAATTTTGGAACTAACCTACATAAGCACCCACAAGTGTGACTTACCCTTGTGAGCCATAATGAAGGCCAAATGTTCCCACAAAGACGTAAGATAGCGAATGTATCACCATCCAATATGGCGAATATCCGGTGAAGAAATAAGGCCATCTTCTTCATAGAGCGCCTCCTAACGACCTATTATATCATGGGAGATGTCACCGTAACCATGAAACGCTGTAGGTCGGGTCCAACATAATCCGAGGACCTTCTGTACACACACACACACACACACACACACACACACACACACACACACATATATATATATATATATATATATATATATATAAACTTTTACTATGTATGGATTCTTTCTTCTTATCTTGTTCATATCTTACATTTATTAAAAAATCTGTGTACCACACTTTCCACAGTGCATCAATGTGCTTGTAAAATTTGCAATGTACGTATATATATATATATATATATATATATATATATATATATATATATATATGTGGGGTGCGTTTGTAAGTACACGCACATACATACATGCACACACACACACACATATATATATATATATATATATATGTTTATTTCTTTACACATGCACATGAATTGGTTTTCTATGTCTATCCGTATGTACATATTCTTACTTTGTTTCTTTGTTCTTCTTCATCTCTCACTTTTATTCAACAATCTGCACATGCGCACTAGTGAGTTTTCTTCTTTTTTTTTTCCTATCGTTATATTGACATCTACGTGTCTATCTGTTTCATGCATTTGGCGTTTTATAAATATCTTTCGACTTTTTTTCACAACTAGTTACGTTTATCGTACAGCAAAGAAAATATCTCAAAGCAAGTGCGAATTTTTGCTCCAGTTTCAGACACCCAAGGGAAATACTTTTCCTTTTCTCATTTGCTTATTTCATTTCACTCTCACTCTTTCACTCACATATTCTCTTTCTCTTTCTCCCTCTCTCCCACTCTCTGTCTTTGTCTCTCTCTTTTTCTTCTTTCTAATTTTCCCTTCGGCGTTTTTTGTTTATTTCTACTTTCCCTGTCGTATTTTTTTATTTGTTCGAATATTTTCAAGATTTTTTTTTTTAATAATCGTTTTTTTCCAATCCAGTTTCCTGTTTATCATTACTTTTCACATGCTAAAATTCTGGTAGTCATTTATGCAAATACTACCAGCAGCAAAACGTTCTACTAACTTGTACTGCGAAGTCTAACTGATTTTTTTTTTTTTTAAATATATTTTATTAGGCTCAGTTTTTTTAGGAAAATTTAAATTAAACTGAAAAAGAACATATTCCAGACTTGAAAGTAGTTTGTTATTTCTTATTAAAAATAACATTATTTCGAACTCTTACTGCAAATATGAGAACTAAAATGCTATGTCATATCGTTCCTTCTATATGGCATGAACAGTACGTAAACAAGTGACCACTTGGGAATATCAGGTGTTGTAAGGTTGAATGTGTGGATAAATAACATAGAATTCTTAATTGGAGAACCGAATCCCAACTCCTATTTGATTCATTATCTTCACTTATAAGCAAATAGCATTGACAAAGATAAGAACCCAGCTCATTTCCCTAAAATATGGGTTAATCAGTGAGACATCACTAAAGCATTATTTTCTGTCTTTCAAATAACATGCAACGGGTTGATAAACCGTAGAAAATTGACAAAGGTAAAAATCCAGCTCATTTCCCCAAACTATGGGTTAATCAGTAAGACATCACGAACATTATTGTCTGCCTTTAAATAGCATGCAAAGAGTTGATAAATCAATCCCATTTGTCAGTGATCGTTGAACATTTTCATCACATCTGAAAAAGATACTTGAGGAAACAGAAATGTGGTTCTACAGAAGGGTCCTGAGAATTCCATACATTGAAGATGTGTGCAACGAGAAAGTTTTAATGAAAATGAAAACAAACAGGACACTTATATTTAGAAACAGACAGTTGCAGTTAATATT